TAATTCATTAACTTTTATGTCGTTGTGATTTAAAATTTATTGTTTTTTCATCCCTATAATTTACAATTCATTTATATTTTAGTTCTTCATACTTAAAAATAGCGTTCTGGCCTAAAAGACGAAAATATAAATGAATTGCAAACTATAGGAATGAAAATCAAAATTTCAAAACCACAGAGACGAAATTTGTAAGTTTTAACAAACCATAGGAACGAAAAACGTAATTTACTCTTATTAAAATAATAAACTCTATAAAGAAGAAATATATTACAACTTGAAAATTGTTACGAAAATTATTCAACTTTTATCATATCATGAGTTTTAAGGTCACAATTATCCAATTTTTGTCATATCACAAGTTTTTAGGTCAAAATTATTCAAAATCTATTTTTGAAAAATACCAATAACTTCAATAACTTTTTGAAATTTCAGTTATACAATTCAAAATTATAAATTGTATCAAAGTTGAACCAACTTTAAATTCATTCTTATATTGAGAAACCAATTGTCAAAATCTACACTTTGAGGCATAAAAAAACAGCTCTACAAACAATTTAGAAACCCGTGATCTACTGAACCCTTTTAATCGGGTACCGTTTATTGACATAACATTCTCATAAAATTTAAAATTTATGACTCAAACATTTTGCTAAGATGATGACATAGATTTTTTTCTTTCATAAACTTAAAAAGAATAAATTACATTCTTGGCCCCTTCAGTTTGTTATCCTCAAATTTTGGATTTAGTCTTAGAAACACATTAAGTACATCACTGATCCTTTTTTTGTATAAGAGATTAGTCCATCAAGTTAACAACGTCAAATCCACCTACGTTAACACCCTCATGTGCCCTTCATGTGAGGGGACAATTCGATTTGTTACCTCCTATTTCTTATTTTCTTTCGTAAAATTTAATAAATTAATTAATATTTTACATCATATGTTTATTAATAATTAATATTATATATATATATATATATATATATATATAAACTCTCCTTATCTTTTTGTTGAACCCTTGCCCCCTCCTCATAGCAGTGGTGAAACCACCAATCCCTTCCCATTTCTCCGATGAGACCCCCTCCCCTTTCTGTTTCATCGAAACTGTCTTGATTGTTATCTGTCGCAGTCCCATTACAGATGCAAATGTAGAAGCCGTCTTCCTTATCACAATCATTTGTCCCATCACGATGTAGAAGCAAAGAAAGAGTAGTTCATGATATGAAGATGTAGGCGGGAGTTCATTGTTACGAAGATGCAAGAGTAGATCATGATGCGAAGTAGGTTAAGCTTTACATTCTTGTCATTTTTACTTTTATTTAGGGTTCTGGAGATGCAAACAATTGATTCTCAAAAACATCAGTCTTAATTTATGGATTTTTTATATTGATTTAGGTTTTAATTTTTCATAAGTTCATTATGTATCACCAGTTTTTTCAATGAGTTTTTATAAATTTGTTGTTGATATTACTGAGATTTGTGTTTGGATTTTGTAATTGAAGGTCCAAAATCTTAAAGTTGATTTCACAAAACAAGTTTGAAATTTTTAAAGTTACATTATTTATATGCCAAAATACTACAAAATACATGTTGCATAACAAAAAAGTAAAATACAATAGTTTAATAAGATAATTTATGGAAGTGTGTTATCATTTCATTTAGAGTAAATTACACTTTTGGTCCTTGTGGTTACCATTCACTATCAAGTCTCATCTTTATTTTAAAATAATTACATTTTTAGTCACCATGGTTGCAATTTTGTTGCATTTTTTGTCCCTTTGAGTAATTTCTGTCAAAAATATATGTTAATTTAGGGGCCTTTTGGCCTTTTTACTATATTTTTTTTTCTATTTTATTTTATTTTATCAATTCCCAACCCCAAGCCCCCACATCACACCAAATCCTGCTAATAGTCTTAATCCTCCCTTTCCAATCTTCTCCAACAAAGTAACTGAAATTTAGTCCCCTCTCC